ATCTCGAGGATCTTTGGATGCAGGATATCTCAGAATCTCTCGAGAAAAATATCGTGTTCATCGTTTGGTGACGTTAGCTTTTTACCCAAAGAAGAATGAAAAGAATATGTGAACCATATTGATGGAGATTCTATCAACAATAGGGCATCAAATCTTGAATGGTGTTCACAGAAAGAAAATATACAACATTCCATATGTCTTGGGCTTGGACACTGCTTCGGACTTCCAGACCAGATATTTAAATAAACTCGGGATAGTTGGCGAGAGAAAAAAGATTTATCTGACCTGTGAGACGAACACGTTCATTTCATAATTAAGTATGTAACTTAACTAATTCTTTAAAAAAAATATATATATATAAATAAACAAATGTACTGAAATTAGCACAAACCATAAAAATAATAATGTTTTTTCGAGAGAGAGAGAGAGAATAGGTCTTTATTAATTAATTAAACAATTAAATTAAATTATTTGAAGAAAATATTTTCAATAATAAATGCTTGCGCTTAGCCAGATATAGATGAATCTATAACTGTTTCTCCTGAACACCGCGCAGAGGTGGCAAGCTTTGTTCAGGTTAAAAAAATATTTGAGGTGAAAAAAAGAAGAAAATGCATACGAATAAAATAGGGTTATAAAAATAGTTTAAAAGTTTTCACCTCAAGACATCATCAAAAATACAAAAACGGAAATTAAAAAATAAATAAATAAATAAATAAAATTCTAAACTACAAAATGTGGATGAAGTGGCCAATGGGGGATTATTTTAAATGCAAAAAGGAACAACAAAAACAACCAACTTCATATAATATATACGATACATCAAGGTACCGTAGTCATGCTTATCAAAAGATAAGCACCCTAGTGAAATTTTTTCAAAGGGGGAAGAGCTTTTTTTTTTTTTTTTTTTAATTTTTAATTTTTTTTTTTTTTTTTAAATTTTTTTTTATTTTTTTTATTTGAGAAAATCAAAGACGACGAATAAGAAGGAGAGGTGGCCAGCTAAAAACGAAGGGGAAAGGGGTAAAAACCATAATCGATGGCAACGTAAATGCCAGGAGGATCAAGATCCATTGGCTCCGGCCATCGACTAGGGGGAGGCATATAAGGGGTTTCTACAAAAATGCCTGGTGGATCGAGATCCATAGGCTCTGGCCACCTAGAGAAATTACGGATAGTAGCAATAGGGCGAGGTGGTACTGAAATTACAGCTGTAACGGGAGGTGGAGGGGGAGGAACTGAAACAAGGGGAGGGGGAGGAACTGAAATAGTGGGAGGGGGAGTAATTAAAGTTACAGCTGTAGAAGAAGAAGAAGTGACAGCTGTAGAAGAAGAGGGAATAGAAGATACAGTTGTCGAGGTTGGGGCAAGGATTGAAGTAAGGGAGTTAACGGTGAGTGATGAAATAAGTCGTCGCCTTTGCATTTCTCTACGTAATACTTTCGGTCTAGCTCTATATGACATTATTATAAAATTCCTAAAAATGATTGAATAAACATTTTTTAAATATTTTCCTTTCAAATCTTTCAAGAGCTTATAAAAAAAAAAATACTGATACGAACCAAATTAAAAAATTTATGGAATGAAGGTGACAAACTAAGGTTCGGAGGTCTTTTTATAATTTTTCCAAGAAGGGTGGCTGAGAAAACAAATGAATGACCAATGAACTACGCGACCTACGTAATCAATCATTTTACTATGATGACGACATATCTTTCCATATATGGTATATTGAATTCATCCAAATTTAACTTTTAATTCTGGTCGGAATTAAATTGGTTTTAGAATTTACCAGGTAATTATTTTAATTTTCTTGTTATCTTAATAAATAAATTTATTTTATAATCATCACGCCAATGGTTTACTTCGGTCGAAGGTATGGTACCAAGACAAAGGAGGTATTGATAAAGAATGTAAGGTTTTTTTATTAAAAAAACCAAGTTCAAAAGAGCGTGGTGGAAAGAAAATTTGTAAAATTTTTTTTATTTGTATGAACTAATACGATGTAATACTGATATCACATGATCAAGACATAGGATGCCGTTTAAAAAATAGAAGTTCTTTTAGAAAAATGGAAAATTTTTTTACATATATTATTTGTATTCTTAAAAATAATTATAAAATAAAACCGGGTCCCATGACCTTTGATTTTTATTTTAAAAAAATTTTATATTAACGCGAATTTTGTTTAATAAATAAAGAATGGCGGGTTATACACGATTGCACGTTATAACGAAATAAGCGGTGGTTATGAGGTATGACTTATTCATTTATTAAAATAAAGTAAATCAAATAACGATTGATACTAGAATTTTTGTTCATGCATCTTTTTATATTTTTAAACGACGATTTTATAAAACTTCAAGTTTTTTCCTAGATTCAATAGACGACTACTCACATCGCATGAAATTAACGTACCTGATTATGAACGAATGTTTCGATACTCTATAATTGTAATTTAAAATCTGAAGAAAATCAAAAAGGCTTGACAGAATTAAAATTTGGAAAATTTGTTGTATTAAATATTTATTACAATGAACGTCAATTAGTAGATTTATATTTTTACATTTGTTTTTTAATATGATTAACGTTTTTTATATTAATGCACGCTTAGCTACTGTACTGTTAAAATGTACATATATTTCATTTTCCAAAATAACTAAAAATAACATTGATTGACTTCCAAATTTTGCATATAGAAAATAAATGTTCACACGATCAAATTCAAAGTGACTATCCTTTTTTTTTTCCTTTATATAGAAACAAAGAAGCGGACAAGTTTTTGAGCACTTCTTTCTCATCGTACCTTATTCGTTTTCGTGGCCCTTTCACAAAAAAAAAAATTTTCATGATGAACCTTGCCCACCTTGAATAAACTGTCACGACTACTAACTTCTAAAAACTTTGCTCCTGCCGTTGCTGATTTCTGGATTTCAAATCTTAACCTGCTGGTAAGCTCTCTTTATTCTTTTTCTTTAATGTAGTACCCTATCATTATCGACAATAGCTTTACTCGTGGAATATTGGTTTATATCCTCCATTACAAAAATTTTTTCCTCCTTGATATTTAGATCTGTTGTATCTGATACTTTTCTACGAGATTATTTTATTTAGATTATATAACGAATTAACTGCTCGTGAATGTGGTTTTTATTAAGGGTCTGCGATTTCTGAAATAGGAATTGCTATGCATCTTCTCATATGAATCAAAAACTGCTTCATGAATGGTGCTCATGCAACCCGAGTCCTGTTGGATATCCTCATCCTTGTAGCGAAGTCGATCGTATTGGATGCCCATCCTTAGAACGCAATTGATAGTTGATTGATCTTGTAAGTTAATATTTTATTTATTATATTTTTTTCTGATCTTTTTAGTCTTGTCATATGTGTTGTATAATTGTACTCTTATAATTAAAATAAAATTGTGTTAATATCAACATAAATAAAGTCTATCATGAATTATTATGTAATGTAATTATATAAATAAAGTTTCTATGATATATTTTATAGTCTATCATATTTGTTAACTGTATTTGATAATTAAATTATTCACTAATATTGCGCTCTAAAACTGTCTCCTTATGTTATACTTAAGTAAATTTCAGTCTTTTTATTTAAGCGAATAAATCACATAATAACAAAATTTTATTGATCTTAAAAGCAGTTGCGTACTTTTTGTCCGGGTATGATATTTTAACAAAAAAATTTCACCTAAAATAAATAGAATATTGAAGCATTCAATTAATTTGCTCTTTTTTATTTTAATACTAAAAAAATATGTTTTTATTCTATACATTTAAACGGGCTTTGAATGACATAATTTTTTTTTTTGTACATTTATAACATAGTTAAGTTCGATGGTTATTATTAAAAAGGTAAGTTATTTCCTTTTTTTTGGAAAAGCAAAAACAACTTGGAAATTTTTTTTTTATAACAATAATAATAGGAAAATATAGATTCTCTCCGCAATTTCTTAATTATCATATAATGCAAAAATATATCACCTTATTAAAATTATCAAAAATTCTTACATAAATTAATTAATTTCATAAGCTTTATCCCAAGTCGCAACTTCTAATAAATTCTGCTTTTACATAAAAGTCGCAACCTTTTTCCTAAAAAAATTCTATTCATAGAAATTAATTAACAGAATAATAATCATTAATTTAATAATAACCAAGCCACGCAAATCACGTGTCCAAAATGTTTTAGGATTTTTATTCACCGAAAAAGTTTATTATTTTAAAGCGTTAAAATCCACCTTTCTCAAAATTTTGTCTTAAATATGAGAGAAAAGAAATACGCAATCATAAATTTAAGAAGATGATGTGATTTTGTAAACGGGTGAGTCTGCATTTCAATTTTCATCTAACCCATCTTGTCTAAAGATGAAAATAATTTTGACGGTTTCAACGGTTTACAACGGTTTTACAGCTAATTTCATAAGTCACGGGACAGCCGATAATAACCGAGACTTTTCCGAGAAAATTTATAAGGATTTGAACAAGTCAACCACATTTTATATGGGTAAAAAAATTATGTCGCTATATTCGGAACCCTGATCTGAACGTAGCGACAATGTTTTTTCTTTCAAAAAATTCTACACCGAGTTTTACCGAGTTTATTTTTATCGATCTGCAAAATGATTATCCATCCCGTGACTTTTGAAATTAGCTGTAACAAATTAGATTTAGACGGGTTTCGATGGTTTTATCGGATTTCAACAGGTTAGATTGCTCAGATTAAATTCTAAATTACCTTCCATTAAACCTGGCATAAATCAAATTTTCCAAATTAAATTTTTATTTAAAAAAGTAAAGAGTTTAACCCTCTGTCATTTAAAAGAAAACAAAACGTTAACTTACTTTATCGAATCTCAGGCATATTTAGTTGAATACAGTGACGTTCAATTTCCAACTAAACAGTACATCTGAAAAATTGGAAAAGAGCAACTTTTCTTAAATGTCTTGGGTATTCTGAAAGTTCAGTTTCTTGGCTCAATGTATAATGTAAAAGCATTAATAGTTTCTAGAGTAAGCATCTTTCAGAATTTTGCAATCTTGATGGTTTTGAACCGTCTTAAACTAGATAACCTTGAGAAAATCTCTATCGAGGACGTTTACAATGAACGTATCATTAAAATCACAAAACTCCTTGTGCATACCCTCAAAATTGATTCATTAAAATCGGCTCTGTAATTAATGTGAGCTGACTAAAGCTATTGGCAAAATTGCATTGCACAATGGAATATTTGATGATTCTTTAACTTTTTTGTTAATCACATTTGTTCAAAATTGTCCATTCCTTGAAATATTTATGATTTATCATGATGATTTATTAATTAATATTAGTGATGAACTAAAACGTTTAGGTAACTTCATTCCGGAAAATCTTAAAAGGTACAATTGAAAAGAGATTGGGTTCATGATACTGATTCTTTGAATTATTTTACAATATGAAAACATATTTTGAAAAATTGAAGGGACCTTTTGATTTAAACATCAATATCAAGAAACTTGGTTACATGCGAAAATTATTATGGTAAAATGATTGTGTTTAAAAGTTTTTTACTAATGCTTGGCCCTTTTTTTATTTTAGGTATCAACCAACAACATTAATTAGTATTCTACCTCAAAAAAACGGAACAAAAAACTTTTCGATAATGATATGCCACGCCACTTAAAATGAAATCGAAGGACTTTTCGCGTCAAAATAAAATGTACTTATTGCGCTCAATGTTATTTGAAATCAAATAATTAAGTTTAATGATACTTTGTATATTTGTGAGTGATGAAAGAGTCCAAGGAATAGTTCTGTTATGCAGAAGTGTGTTGTCCAATTGCCGGTAATATTATTCCATTCAACATCGTTGTCGACAAGTTAACAATACAATTACCTGACCTGATGGCCACTGGATGTCCGACCTACTTACCAGTAAATGGAAACCCGCAGAGACACCTGCCCAATTGCGACAAGCGGATTTAAGAGAAAAGATGTGATCTACAGCATAGTATGCTAGCAGAGAAAAGATCAGGAGTTTTAGGAGTTTTATCTAATGAGTTTCAATTTGCAATGTACTAATAACCTATAATTGACATAGCATAATTGCAGATTAAATTTATTCATAAAATTAAAAAACTAGAAATTTTGTAAATCTGGGAGTGATTAAATATGTTGTACCCCAAATGCGTTAATGTCCGAAATGCGCATTTGGGATACAAAAGCTACAAAAATAAACCGAATCCTGTCCTGTTCATCTGAGTCAAAGGCCGATGTTTGACCGACCGATATTTTCATAATAATATAATTTAATTTATCACTTGATTTGAATTTTAACATTGTTGGTTTTATTAAAAATTTTTTATTTAGCCATATTATTATTACTAGGAAATTAAAACCATTCTAAGTACTGAGCTCAATATTGAATTTTGGTACTCTAAATTGATGCCGTGTATTACTGGTTTTACAATAAATGTCTTCTCTTATATAGAACCAGTACGGTACAGTACGATGTAAAAGTACTGATCAAGCGAATCGTACACAAAGGTGTGATCTATTCACATATAATTTTATGTAAAACTTAGACGGGTTAATTTAATACAATTGCGATAAATCTATAATCCTAAAATTGATATAAAAGCGATGACTTAAACATGTACATTGCTTTACAGTAAATAATATACTTTTTTTAAACGTATGGATTATTTATTATTTTAAATATACATAGAAAAATAAATATACGATACAAAATACATGTATTTATCTATTATTAACCTGAAATACCTCATAATCATCTACTTGAAACTGATATTTGCGTAATATCAATTTGAGGATAAGCATGTGATTCAGTAAAGCAAGTATTATTATAGCAATAAAGATCATTACCATTACCAAAATATGAACCATGATATGGATTACAATAAACGGAATATTGAGAACAACCATCCTGAATATAACCTACTTTTGCAGTTTGAAGTTTTGTTCTATTTACAAACTATCTTTGGTAGCTTTCCATTGATCATTTCCTTCCCACCTAAATGGATTATATCCTCCCACTATTTGTTCCGTTCCGTTAATTTTAACTACGACAATATTGGCACCTTTGTTATCACATTTTTGATGAAATGCTGCAACTGTATTACCATCCCTACTGGCACGATAAGCAATATAAAATCATAAAGCGTCGTTTTGACATTATTTTTTTTTTTATCAATCCGACCGAAAAAAAGACCATATGATTTCTTCTTGATATTATTTCACTCTTGTCAATCCAACTGGAAAATATAGCAAAATGCCGAGAGTTAACTAGAATTAAATTTGATTGTCTAGGTGGTTTTATATTAATATTCAATTTCATATCAGGTACCGAAGCATATGCTAAGATGTCAATAATCAAATCCTTCGGTAATATTTCCCTGTAGTTTTTCAAGAAAATCTTCTGAAGTCATTTGATGAAATCTAATTAAAGGGATAAATCTATGAAGAATTCTTTCCATAATTATAGTTTCTTCACTTCTCCATTCTTTAACATTTACAGGAATAGAAGGGTTCTGAGCAATGCTCCACTTAATTAAACTATCCCAAATATCAATTTCATTCAGACTTAAATCATCCCGTTTTAAAATTCTAATAAAGGTGCTTTTATATTGATAAATTTATCAGAATTAAAAAGCTCCTTGGGTCTTCACAAATTTTTCAAAATAAAAATTTCGTAATTTTGTGAAATTCTCATTGTTGATAAATTGTTTCAAGAATTCCTATAGGATTTTCTTGTAAAAACTCATGATGGTCTTTAATTAAATAATCTTCAATTTCGGGAACTAATGATTGAAGATTAAGTGCACCTGCCGTTTTTAAGAGATCTAATATTTCAGTTCCTTCTAATTTCGTCATGTCAATCCTTCCGCAATATATAAATCTGAAATTCAAAAAGATATTAGTAACTTGGTAAATATCATTGTCGTAGTTGACGACTTTATCTACCTTAAGGAAGATTTGGAGGAATGTTGTGTAATTTTAAAATAAATTTCCCTGCCTTCTTCTCAACATTTTCTTTAGTTAATTCATCATAAAAATATTGCGACCTGAAAGTTAAAATATTTGAAAGTCCATGTAGTTCTTTACCGTTTCATTTTCACCGGCATAAATAATGACATCATAACTTTTGTCATATTCAAATAACTTTTCATAATCACAATTCCTTGCAAACATTCAATCGACATTTTTTTACATAAAGTTTACAGAAAGTTAAAATTTGAAAAAAAAAATTCATTATGAAAATTACATGATAGTAGTGTTACACCACGTATTTGTTTCCATTTAGTGTGACGCTGTTGCATGAATCTTATCTTGTCATATGAAAATTTCAAGTAAATGACGAAATATGAGTGACCGCTTAAAATATACAACTGGTTGCTTTGCATCACAAAAGATATCCGCAGTTAATTTATTTTTTTTTTTTTATCGAGAATGAATATTCCATACCCCATATTTCCAAGCACTGGACTCAGTAAATACATATATACAAATATACTAAATTCAGGTTAATTAAGTTGTTGGACATTTATTTAATTGAACATATATATGTCCAATTGGACATCAATCTAATCGATCTGACGTAATTAATTGATACTGAAATAATTTAGTAATACTTTATATGTGACGTATTTTTGCTCTTTTTCAAGAAGGATTACCAAGTCGTACAATTGCTCTCAAATTTTATAAATCCATGCTTTTGTAATAAAAATCAAACAAAAAAAAAATTAAGAACGAGCAGCTTTGGTGTTAGCCGTCATAAATACTTACAAAGCGTCATGATATGAATATTGCCAGGGTTGTTAAGTTGTGTAAAGTTCCAAATGCTATTCTAATCCAAATTCCAATAAAAATATGTTTTTTCACTAAATATGATTCGATGTACTTAAAATAATAAGGTTTTGTGGATAGGGTTAAAAAGAAATAACTATTGTTCCTAAGGAGACAGAACAGCTCGAAAATTTTGTTAATCAAGAGCAGTTCCCGCAAAAAAAGTCACTTGAAACCTTTTCTTGATAGTATAAAATTATAGAAAGTTAGACGGTCATTATTGTTTTTCAAAGAAAAAATCTTTTTTAATTTAAAGGAATTTTTAAGAAAATGATCAAAATTTGTAACAAATCAAAAAAAAGAATGTGATAATATTAAAAATTATTGTATTTAGGAATAAATAAAATAGGGTTAAATATAATATGTGGTACTAACCAATTGGAAAAATAATTTATTTTTATCCAGCATTACCTGATTGATACGATGTTGTTTTTAAATCATTTAATATTAAGATATCAACCAAAGTTATTAAACATCATTATTTAAAGATATTGAGAAGTTTGCTATTAAAATCAAGTTACGAACATAGTAAATCATATGGTTTGTAATGTGATTTTAATAGCTTACCTTCTATATAACCAAAAAGTGAGCAAACCATTGATATAATCTTTAATTTCAAAAAGTTAAAAAAATTTTCGTTATTGCGAATGGTTAATCAAAATTATTAATTCTCTATCAATAGCTAACAAACAGAAGAAGTGTTAGTAAGCAAAATTTTTTTCTTTATCAGTGATACTAATCTAAATTGTGAAGTATTATTAATATTTGGAATTTCCATAAAAAAAGGTTCGTCAGTCTTTTTAAATTTACGGCCCTCAACTTTCGAAAAATCACGTGAAAAAATATAATCATCATACGTAATGGTTGCTCAATGACATCCTATATCATTTTCTGAGTTTATGGACAATTTTTTATAATAATATTGGCCAAATTTTTAAATAAAAGATATTTTAATGATAATATCACGCGAAAACATAGAGATTATTTTATGGGCAACATATATAGTGAAGAAAAATACTTTATTTATGCAATAGATGAAGTTTACATAATTATCAAATCTTGACGGTACAATATTTTGTTCTCCTACGGTATATATTATATAACCAAAAAATTATTACTTGCTCTAGACCTGCTCCATTCATAAAATAATTATCACAAAATATTATTATTGATTCAACTTAAATTATATATATATAAATACATGATAAAATAGTTGTTCATCAAAACAAGAAATTTCTTCCTAACCTCCACCATATTACTTCCTCATTATTGTAATGCACATTCATATAAACACTTGTGAAATCGTGATTGTGACAAATATTGTTGCATTTAATCAATTGCTTATCTCGCTATTCTTTAGTTGATTAGTGGTAGTTTGGTTCGTTTCTGTATGTAAAGTAGACAGTCTAAACATTACGAATATAAAGACTTTTTCTAAGTGATTAAGCATATTAAAATTGATGTTAAATGTCCAGGCCAATTCGAAGGTGCTGTGATCAACCATTCATGATTGGATTTTTGTGGTATTAACTCATAACTTCGAATTCACCAATAAGCACTTATGTGTATGCAATGTTGCAAGCCTGATATTTTCCTTTTCAAAGTTGCAAACAGCACTAAATAAGTCTATAAGTTGATCAGAACTATAGTTGCTGTATATACTATTGAATCCCATCCCATCCCATCCCATCTCATCCCAATTCCATATTAAATCTTCATATTATATTTAAAATCCTATATCCTATATCCCAAAATCCCAATTCCAATCCAAATTCCATTTTAAATAATCATCAAGAAAATTTATTAAGTTCTAATTAATAGTTTTAATAATTTTTTTTTAAGGAATGGGATTTGGAATGGGATGAGTATATTATGGTAACAAGTGTTTGGACACTTTGGTATTTTGTTGATAGGCAGTACTTTAAGATATCAGGTAAGACATTCCATAAAAGTAAGAGTATGGTGAGAATATATTGAAGGTGTCATTTTGATTGTCAAAACTATTCCTAACAGATTCAGGTTATGACAGAAATTGTAACTGTAAGAGTTCCATAGCGGGTCTTGTTTTCTCCTTGAGAAGATCTTTTCTATTCTCAATATTCATAGATGTTTTTATTCAACTGCGTAATTATCATAAGTGTCAAATTGAATTTCAGAAACAACAATTTCATATTCTTGATACAGTTAAGTTGAATTTTGATCCAATCGAATTTGTACTCTCTATAAACAGACTGTATTGCCTTAAACAATGGCACAATTTTTCTACAGTGTATTTACTCTCCCTGATATCATTATTAAGTTTCCTCAATTTTCGATCAAATCCCGCTAAGGCAACCATATTAGTGTGTCTATTAAAAGTGTAAAAGTCGTAGTTTGATTTAATGATTCAACTTTGGCCTGCTAAACTTCAAGTAAATTATAATATCTGGCCCGCTTTAAATTTAGGTTCCAATTCGAATTTTTTGAAGCCTTTGCACTTTCTCTTGCATTAACTAGAATCTGGAGTAGTTTTGGCAAATGACGAAATGACCTCAAATGAAATCATTTTATTAGAAATTTCAAGTCAAAATTACCAAGGTCATTTGAAAAATAGTAAATGACATAAATTTTCTGGAGAGGTTTCCGGATGATGAATGGCGAATTGTAGTTGTATCAGCTCAAGAATAGGACAGTTCAAATCTGCAACCATGGTGTGCTTGATGGTACATACAGATGAAACCAAGGAACTATTTATGAATATTATTAGTTACAACATATGAAGGTGACAGAATTCCATCTGTTAAATGACGGTAAGCTCACTTTCAGACTTTATAGTTGTGGCGGATAAATAAGGCATCGTTAAGTGTTTGAAGATTTCTTCCTATATGTTCCATAATGTGCTGTGCTAGTGTCAAGATCGTCTGTCATTCATCAATCTTGTAAGGAGGTTTAATACATCTTATTTCGACAATTTTCAAGTAATGCTTGGGAAAAAACAATAAGAAAAACAAGTGGTTAGCGTATTATTGTTAGGATGTGCAAAATAATTTATTTTATTTTTTTTTTTTTAGTAATTTAGAAAATCTCATATTTACTAGAGTTATGATATTCTGTTAAATGCTTGCATAGTTCGATATATTTTGTTGACTTTCCGAACCATAAACTTGCCTTCTGAGATTTTTATCACCAAATCTGTGTTGTTTCCCAACGGTCCTTAACCCATTATTAAAGACTAAACTGATCGCTCTATTAGTAGTCCAACTTCTGATACTAGTATTAACAAATTCAAAAAATATAATAGTGAGTTTGGAGACCTGAATAATAAAGTTTCATACTACAAGTTTTTTCGTGAACTTACTTTTTCTCTCTCAGACATAAACAATTCTTCCTCCAGAATCAGAAGACTTTTATTAACTTCAAAAGTTAGGGCGCTTGATTTGTTTACTTTTAAACTGTCATATCCAGTAATTCTTCTGAGTCAAAACTTGGATTTGCCTTCAATATGCAAAAAATTTATCGTTCCAACAGTGATTCTATTTCCTTCAGAAAGTGTCAAAGCCCATGTATTAACAAGAACAACATTGTGTCTGCAGACTTTATCGAAGCAACGGATATCGTAATTAACGTCCACGATTCCACGATATGATGACCAACTATTTCGTTCTTTTACGATCAAAAGTCAAAAGGTTGTTTATTTAGCAAAGAGTGAAGTTTAACGCGAAAAAGTAAGCTATAAGGATCGTTTACTTTTTTATTTAAATCGAGACATATTACATAATAATTACCTAACGTAGCAATGCTATTGTTGTACAAAATTTTATAATTACACTATACTAATCGTTGACCGAATTATACTTTCTTTTCTTATTTGTGCCTCTCGCTGGATTCTACATAATAAATAGAATAAAATATTACTTAACATGGGCTATATTCGTTATAAATATTGAATTTTAGTTAAAGGATCATATATTTTAATAAAATTATTATTTTTAGCCGTGACCAAAAGGGAATATTAGTATTAATTTTTTTTAAAAAAAAAATAGAAAAAGGCATCAAATAAGCCTTAAGATTCAATCAAATATATTCACGGTAACGTTTCGATTATTGATTCGGACCTTGAATTCAACTAAGCATTATTAAATAAATTATAATAGAATGGTGATTTGAAAACTATATATTTGATTTTCCTTCTCATAAAATGGTTTGCTTACCCTCCAATCGTCTGCAAGCATATACATTGCGTCATGTGACAAAGAGGACACAGTTATTCCTTCTATTTAAAATCTTTTCATGCAATATTCTTATTTTCCTGATCCTTACCTTTTTGTTCAGATTAAAAAAAAAATATAAATCATTGAAATTTCGTTTTATTCAAATTCATTGCGGTACAGTTTAATAAAGTATAATCCAATTCTCAGTTCAAGTCCTTAAAGCAAGTATCTCATTCTCTGGGAAAATAAACGCTTGACAGTAGAATAGCAATTGGAAACGGATATTTCATACCTCTCAATTAGATTCAACCGAATCTCAGTTTCCAAAAAATTCCTAGCTTGTTTCAATACAGCTGTTCGGGCATATTGACGACTTCAACTTTTTTGAATATGTTAAGGTCATCTTCTTTTCTTTAAATGGTCACACCTTTTCATTATCAGCTTGTTGAATAGCATAATATCTAAGGGCTAACGCTTATGGTAATATTGTAATATCAATAATCTTGATAAAGGTTTCGCTAACATCAAATTAACCATCTTATCAGTAGTTTGCATACAACCATGATCGTTTGAGGAGTTTCTCTGTTTGTATATAAACAAGTACGGGTTCTATTCAAGAACAAGCTTACATTACGCAATATGTTTGATCCATCCACTTTCTAAGAAATATTATATATACCGATTGTCCTTGCTTATTTCAACCCTTTCCATGACTTGTATTACAATATAGTCAGACCAAAAGCATTAAAAGTTGATCCAACTTTCCACCCTAAATATATCCTAGAACGTTCATAATGAACATCCAAAGCGTTTAATAATGATGAGATGCTGTCAGAGTTGTTGGTTGCCATGAATATAGTTGCGGAGCAAATCCCTTGTATTCGACGGTACTGTCGAAACTATAATAAATCAATAAAATCTTCAAAGTTGAAAAGATATTTAAAAATCCCATCGAAAGACAAAATTCGAGACTTTTGCCGTTTACTAAAATGATCTTCCACGAACTATAGCCAAGAAGAATTTGAAATTCAATTGATTGATTAGCTTTTAGTTTGTAATTGAATTAATCGCAAATTTAATGAATTCATACTTACTAATACTCTAAGAAAGATATGCTGGTGTTACTTTAGTATCAATTTTTTTTTTGACTCGTTCATAAATAGTAATACGATCTCGATTGTAGTTACGCTAAGGTTTTTGTGATTAGTTTGAATATTTCGAAATAAGAACCAAGAAAATGATCCAAATTTTATTCGTAATTACTTTGGAGTATATCATTTAAGGCAGTTGCTGCAATCATAACAGTTAGGTTTTCAACCTTTTGATTGCGATTATGCGTATTCATGGTTCTTTGAAAGTTTCTTTGAATGTTTCTTGTTAATTGCATTTTCACCACTGAATAAAATATAATCTTTGTCATTAGACTCGTTTATATGATTATAAATACAAGCACTCTTTAAAATTCTTACCAAGAATCATCATTGACTTCTGGTGATAGTATAACGAGATACAAAATAGTATATAAGCCGATAACACGTAACAATTTATTGAATCTAAAGTATTCGTAGTCCTGTTATTAAGAGAAATGGAACCATTTTATGAGTTTGATAAAAAATTTTGATACGAGTAGTACAAATTCGTGGTAACAATGTATATTCTTTAATTATAAAAATTGTAAAAATAAACAGTCAAAAAAAAGATAATAAATATTTTGTTTACCTTAAACTGAATTAAATGGTTGAGTTTCATCGTCAGAATCTTCCAATGGGCAACAAATTTCTCAAGTGTCATCAATTCATTTATTCTCAAGATCAATATCATCGATTTCTAAACATAACCTTAAACTGTTCACACCTTTTAAAATGTTTCAAACATAAGTTCTCAAATATGTAATGTAATTACTAAGATGATCGGTAATTCTTCGAATTTACAATTAATAAACGATTCAGCTGTGATGAAGAAGATTGGTGATCTCTAATTTAAAGACAAATTCCTCTTCAAGTCAAAGAAGTTGACTTCTACAAATTTCCTTTAAACAGTCAATTTTTCGATTTGAAGTGAGAACTTAAGTAAAAAAAGAGATCCATCAGATACTTACATAATTTCAAAGGTGATATTTTCGCCAGAGCCATGAAATTCAAACATAATGAATTTTTCCCTGTCCTGTACATTATTGTGTCATGAATAGTACGAGTATGAAATTTTTTCACCAAGTATTTTGACATAAGTACCTGGTTTAGTACAATCAACCCATGAACTTGACCTGATTCTAAGGTGTATGTTTACGTAATCTTAGAACATCTTATCCTTGTGGCCCTGAGAACTTCTTTGCTAGTCTTTCACTTAATCATCAACCCAAGTAGCTGTCTTTTCATATTTATCAGCCAATAATCCAAATCAGTACAGCTGAACAACATATTTATCGATGCTTTCAAATCATCATTTCGAAAATTTTCATCACCTATCCAAAAAATTCGGAATGACCGTTAAGTTCGAAACAACCAAAGTCTTTTTGATAGCTGATATAACGACGTACGCATATGAAAAAGTATGATGAATGACAAATATATATACAAACACACGTAGTTTACACAAGTGTCAAAATTTTAGAAACAATCATTAATGACAACCTACATTATCTTTCTTCACAAGAATGTTAACTTCAGTTTTGTGCAAACTCATTCATTATATCGGTAAGTCGTCAAAAAGCTCTTAAAAATGCTGTAAAGAAAAGAATTATTTTCAATTGTTTCTATTAAATTAAAAAGATTATGTTCATAATAGCGACAATACCTGTAAAACACATTCTCACTGTTATATTTGTTTTAAAAGTTTTTATCCAAGCTATTTCTTCGAAACTTTTGAGACCTATATGTTTGACTCCGATGATTCCTACATCTATAATCCTTTTAATTTCCTATTGAATGATTGGAACTTCTTGATATTAAACTCCGTAATACTTATTTGCTCAGTTAACTTTCCGGAATGATTAAATAATTCTTCCGTTCAAAGTCACTTCAATGATATCCTTTATTAGGTATTAATATTAATTTTCAAGGAGTATTGTAATTTATTATTAGTAGTATCAAGAAAGTTTCATTTTTACCATTCATCCGAATATGAACAAAATCTCAAAAAGTATAAAAGAAAATAATACATAAAATTCTGTTCTCATGAATATTTTAAAATTTCAAGTGATATACCTTGAACATTTTCAAAAATTTATTTTGATCTAAATTTTCTTTTTTAAAAAAATCGAAATTTTATAAAAAGCGTTGAAATAGATCTGCATTCCATAATAAGTTAAGATCAGATTTCCAAAATATATTGAATATTTCTACCGTGGTGTTAGCGATCATAAACATTTTTGGTTATTAGAAAGCTTCTAATTGAACAAATTATGATAATTTTAAATTTTTACTTTAATTATTAATCTTGCATAGCATGTCATTTTATTAATCTTTCCCATAAAATATTTTTTTTATGCTTTATTGTTTATTGGCATAGCTTTATCGCGGAATTTAAATTTAAATTTTTTTTTATAAATAATTAAATAAAAAATATATTTATTTATTTTTATTTTTAAAGATTGTTAATTTAAATACAAGAATTATTCTAATTAAAAAGTGAATCGGTCGGTCAGTAACTCTTGACCGACCGATATCGGTCACGGTTATAACTGGTCATAACCGTGTTCACTAACATCACAAATACCCATTCCTAGCGAGATAACAGACCTGGATTAGAACCTATGATTTCTGATAGTCACAGGTTCGGAATTTGTAACCATAGCGGGTCTTGTTTTCTACTTGAGAAGATCTCTTCAACATCCCGGCCCAATTCTATGTTCTAATTCGAATTTTCGAAAAGTTTTTACACTTGTTCTTTAGATAAATATTCTGGAGTGGGTTTCGGACGTTGAATGGTGAATAGTAATCATTGCTTGAGTTCAGCTCAAGGATTCAACAATGACTACCGAAAGGATAGGATAATTCACATTCGCGGCTATAGTGTTCTTGATAATGCGGAAGCAACCAAGGAACAAGGCATGGACCATATGGGTTGATTGCTTGGAAAATCAGGTTCCGGGAATTTTTAACAAAATTGAGATTTTTATTGCATTTTAGTTTTTGATGCTATTAGATTAAAATGCATAAAGTTCTTAATTTTAGTCTAAATTTTCTCGGAACCTGATTTTTTTAGAAATCTTCCCATATTAATTTAAGATGGCCATTCGTAAAACTCGCTTCCAAACATCAAAGCTAGACGCTTAAATAAAGAATCATTAAATATTTGTAGATTTCTTTCTATATCGATCCAAAAGCGTGTTGTGCTAGCTTCATTTTCAAAATTATGCTAAGTAAATGCAATTAGACAAGTGGTTAGAATATAGTTATTAAGAGAAAGCGGATTTACTTGAGAAGCAATGACGGTTATGATGGATAAATTTGTGTTCACTTACCGGCGCCATAAACTTACTTTTTAAGATTTTATTCACAAATCCGCGTTCTGCATCGTAAAATTTGGTTGTTTGACAATTCTGTTGGTTTCCACTTCAGATATTAGGATATTATACTTTTAAAATATTGAGTGGAGAGACCCGAATTTTCTACACGTTTTTACATTTTTTTCGTAAACTTCCTTTTTCTTTAAGGTTCAAATTAAGGGCGTACAAATTAATTAAGATTAATAAATATAAAATAGTGAAGACAAGAATTACAACATTCAAAAAAATTCTTACCGAAATTTTCTTTATCTTCTTGATTTCGTTTTTCGTTTTTGAAATTCTATAGTAATAAACATCTAGCTTAGTAAATTATACTTAAACAAGATTTCATTCATGTATTATTTACCTTCTGGATTCTTTGAGCGCCTCTTGCTAGTTATTCTTCAAACTTTCATTTTTACGTTCTAATTTTACCTATCGTGAGAAATATAATGTTAACAATGCATAGAATATTCTATAAAGTAATAAGAGAAGCACATAACCGATTCTCCTTTAAGGAACAGTAGACTTATTAGCAACAACAAAGTTAATGGCGCCTGAATTGAGAACCTGGAGTGGTTATCAAGCTGTCAAATCCAGTAATTCTCACAAGTCAAGACGCGGTCAACTGGGAGTTACCCTAACTACGCCAAATAAAATAAAATATGCACCTTATTTTTCAACGAGATAAAATTTTTTGTTCCAAATGTGATTCCGCTTCTTTGAGTAAGTGACGTGCCCACGCGTTATAAAGACTTTTGTAATGTTAGAATGAACATATTTAACATTTGTGGCAAGCTCGCGGCTGAAAGCTCCTTATTAATCTCATCAGTGCTTTCGACAAAGTATTCGATATTTGGGAGGAAGGTTTGCTATTAAAATCGTAGTTGCGACATAATTTTAATAGCAAACCTCCCATTTATTAAAGGAATGAAATTATTTGAGTTTATTTTTATTTTTTTTTTTAACGATTTGAGTTTATTTACGTGTAACAATGAATAATATCGATGACATTTTTGGTGCGATTAACAAATGGGTGACAAATCATAATTATTTTGAAATTTATTATTACTTCATTTTTAATAATTATATTATTATATATATATTAAATTTTCAAAATTTTTTTAAACTTTAAAATATTTAGTAATATATGTAATTTTGAAATCAAATAATTAATATTATAAAAAAGATTTTAAAAAAATCATAAAAATTATGATTAAGATTATTTAAATAATACATATATTAAAAATCACTAAATCTTTTATTTACTTCATTTTTAATATAAAATTATAAAAAATTTTAATAAATAAATATTTAATAATATAAATATTTTTAATAATATTCTAAAAAATTTGTTTAAATAAG